ATTTATATGTGTTCAGTGTTGAGGACGGGCGTCTGCTGGACTATCTGGTGGCTCACGATGAGCTGATGGAGGAGAAGGTGGCGTTCTTCATTAAAGACATACTGGAAGCTCTGCAGCACCTGCACACATGCAGAGTAGCTCACCTGGACCTCAAGGTGAAATATCATACCAGCACATCAGCATGCAAACAGATACTTACAGCTTATTTACTGGAAAGTAGTACTTTAGCAGACACTTATCCGAAGCAGAACAACTTGCATAGCAATGCTCTAGCAACCACTAGTGCACTTAGTAGCCATGCAGCAGTGCTCTAAAAACCAGCTGTGAATAAAACCTGAAAAAAATAATAATTAAGCAACCTCATAGCAACCATTTAGAACACCCAAGCACCTGCAAAACAGCATGCTAAAAACCTAAATAAAACCAAAGACTGCATACACCAAGATGGTTCACTTATTACAAGGAATGGGAGGAAGTGCAGCACACAATTTGGCAGATCTAATAAAGAAAGTTCCACCTTCTAATTAAGTCAATTGCAAATTGGTAAAATCATTGCATCAGTGCAGCTGCCATTAAAAGCTCCAGTCCCTGACAGTGTCCTGAGGCTTGCATTTCTCCATTCAGGTAGATAGGAGTAGATTTGACATGCCCAAAATTGCTGCCTAGAGGCGTTGTACTGACTTTCTTTGAAAGGGACTTTGATAAAACCTGCTAGAAGCTCGTATAACATCCCAGCACCCACACAGCAATGTGCTAAAAACACTCAGAACACCTTAGAAACCACAAGCAAGCACCAAGTAAGTAGCTGACCACTAAAGGATAGTTTAGAAACCTAGTGCAGACTCTTGAGTCTTCAACTCTTTCTTCTTCTTTAGCCTGAAAACCTGTTGGTGGACCTCCACGTGCCGGCGCCCTGCGTGAAGCTCTCAGATCTGGGCGATGCTGTACATGTTTCGGGTCACCGCTATGTGCATCTCCTCCTGGGGAACCCTGAATTTGCCGCTCCAGAGCTCATCCAGGGCACCCCGGTGTCCCTGTCCACAGACGTGTGGAGTGTAGGGGTGCTGGCCTACGTCATGCTCAGCGGAGTCTCCCCGTTCCTGGACGAGAGTCTGGAGGAGACCTGCGTCAACATATGCAGGCTGGACTTCTGCTTTCCTGAGGAGTACTTCAGTGGCGTTAGCCAGGTCGCCAAAGACTTCATTGTGTCCACGCTTCACCAGGACCCCAGGAA